CGTGATGCCGGCTCAAAAGGAGCCGCAGCTGGGGCGAGAAGAGCCTTGAGGAGCTTGGGCAGACCAAAGATCCGTCTGCGGTTCCTCTCGCAGCGGATGCCATGCAGCATCATGCAGCGCTTTCGCGACCAAAGCGTGCTGGAGGGTGAGCAACAGATGACCCTGAGAAATTCAGATAAGCTTTCCTTCGGGGCATCTTGAGTCAAGGTCCACGAACATGCATGAAGTTGACGCGTGCAACACAGACTCTAGGAAACCCTGAGCCCTGTACGCTCCTTTGAGCTTGAACCGTAACCTGTGCCGTCAGACTCGGGGTGCAGGGTGTTGCAGTTGAAGGCCTCAGCGCTTGCAGTTTCGACATGCATCGGCATGCTGTCCTGGCATTGAATCTCTGGCTATCTTTGCAGGACTGCTTCCCATGTCGCTTTCAGAGAGGATCAAGGAGGCCACCTCATCCGAAGGATTGGTGGTCTGCCTGTTTGGAGCTTAAGTACCATGCAGAGCCTTCCAGTCGCCTAAGACCCGTAATAAAAAGCTAACTTAGATGATAACTGAGCAACGAGGGCGTTTGATATAAGGAGTAAGGACAGGCAGCATTCTGGTGTAGAGTCGCTGGGCCCGAAGCCTGCCGCATGTCATCGCATGTCCGTGGCCCGGCTGTTGCTTTGCTGCTGGAGCATGGCTCGAGGAGAGTGGAGTCGCGTGACGGACTTGGCGGACGCCGGCCTTGTCCGCCCCGCAGCGCGGTCCGAGCACATTGGAGCCTGGGATGAAGCGAGGCAGGTGCTGTTGATCCACGGAGGAAGCAACCTCGAAGGCGACTTGTGGGCTTTCGACGCCACATCCGAAGCATGGACCCGCACGGTGACGGCCGTGGCGCCGGCAGCTCGCGCTGCACATGCGGCGGGCTGGGATCCTGCCAAGCAAGCACTATGGGTGCATGGCGGGCACAACAGCCAAACAAAGACTTGGTTTCGGGACGTGTGGAGATTTCAGTCTGGAGCCTGGACGCTCGAGTTTGACGGTGCCGGGCCTTGCGGAAGGCAAGCACACGTGGCTGTTTGGGTTTCGAGCACTTCTTCTCTTTGGGTGCACGGCGGCTGGACCGGCAGTCGCCGCTTGTCAGACTTGTGGAGCTACAATGACCAGGCTCACGGATGGCAGGAGCTGGCTCCCGTGGCACCAAGCGGGGTGCCACCGGCACGCTCGCATCATGTTGCAGTGTGGGATGGGACCGGCCAGGCACTCTGGATGCATGGGGGTTACAGTGACTCCTTGCTGGGGGATCTGTGGACTCTGGATGCTTCCGGCCTCAGTTGGACTGAAGTGGTCTCTGATGGAGGCCCAACCGCAAGGTCAGGCCATGCTGCGGTGTGGGATGACGCCAACCGCAGGCTCTGGCTACACGGCGGCAACGACGGCTTCCTGAAGCGGGAACTCTGGAGATACGAGACCGGCAGCAACATCTGGAGCCTGGTTGCAGAACATGCAGGTCCTTCAGGACGCTGGTCTCATGCAGCTGCCTGGGATGGTCTCAACCAGGTCATCTACATTCACGGTGGCTACAACAGCAGTTTGTGTGGAGACCTCTGGAAGTTCTGGGTC